ACGCTGCTAAAACTCTTCGAGATAAAGTGGATGTGTATTACACCGATTTGTAGGCAATCAAATTTCCTACAAAAAAGTCAGTGACAGCATATATCCATAGTTGATAGGATTAGCATGGGAGGCGTCCAAACTTTTTGAACTATTCTGTAATGAACACCTGAATCATCGTTCAACTTGAATTGAAATATCGGTTTGTTGTTGGCCAATGGAAATTTCAAAAAAAAACTCAGTCAATATGCGAAATCTTTTCATGGTTGAATCATTCCTGTGAATTGAATATTGGAATTTTGGTAGCTGTTTGAAAAACGACAATTCTGAATGGCGTCAATTAATTTTGATATGATATATTTCTGAAATTAATGATCGTAAATCAGTGAAATTTGATTCATCTTCTGGAAAATTCTTTTCTGTGCATATTTGACCTCTTGATATTTTTCGCTAACTGTGACCGTTTTCCCGAGGTACATCAATGAAACGGGAGAGATAATTTCCACTGCGTTGATTTTGTCCCTACTAGTGTGACCTCACGAAAGCGATGCTCCGGCCCGGTTAGATAGAGTAGGCCCTGCATGGATCCCGTCCGAAGAGATCATTTAGGTAGTATTGCTTTTTATTGTTCTGTGCCACAAACTAAAAAGATGGAAATCACAGATGTCACATCGCCCGGTAACTTGGTAATCTGCGCTACCGATCCGCTACCACATCTTCATCAATTTTCAAGACTAGGAAAAAACCGCTTCGAATGGGTAAATCACTCAAATTTTCAAAATTTCAAAATCGAGTGGGAGTAATCTCTTCGGACGAGGTGCCCATATAATTATGTACAAACTTCACAAGTAAGTTCGTTATATTGTTTCATTATATTTTTGCTCCTCGTCCTCAAGATCGCTTAGGTAAACACTTGAAGATCTATAGGTGATAGGATGAATAGAACATTATGTTTCATGAAATAACTCCCCAAATATACCTATTGTGTTTAAGAACAAAAGTGTCCACTATGCAAACCAGTGCTGCCGTTGCGGTACTTTTGTACTGCTTTCGGTACTATTTATTGCACTTGTTACCAAAGTACTACTTTTCCAAAATATGCCTCATTCGGTACTTTTTCTATTCATATGCCAAAGCCAAGATGCTAATGATTCGATGAAGAAACTGGTAACTGGTGTTTCATGTTCTGTGTTGTGGTGGTGACAACTAGGGGTTCTCGGGTATCTGCGGATATGAACAAATTAGACAGGTAATCATAAAAATTCATTGGAATTCATCATATCATCATGTCTCCTATATCATCATAATTTTGTAGTTGGTTGAAAAGCGGAGGGGAATCACAAAACCAACATGAGACAGAAATGAATAATGCTGTCCAACGAGATGGAAATAGGAATTGAGAATATGGTTCTGATTCTGATAATAGGGGAAATGAAGAAAATATTGGGAGTTGCCCTCCCAAGAAGTATAAAAAAAGCAGAAATTATAAATTCAATCCACAATGAGGATCAGATGCTGTAAGAAGATGGAATATGCTGTTAACAGTAACTGGACTACCTAATATATTTTTCAGGAGTTGTCCAAATGGCTTAAATATGATAAACCATACTGCAATGTATGTAAACATATTCTAGTTGGTAGTAAGAGCCATATTAAAAGACATGCTAATACTACAAACCATATTAAAAAACTATCAATTTTGGAGAAATCAAGAAATATCCAAGGCACCATCGAAAATCTTCCTTCTGCCAAATTGAATGTCGCTATAAATGAAGGTGAACTGAAAATGTGTATGTTTTTGGCAGAACATAACCTGCCATTCCTCTTAATGGAACACTTGCCAGGATTGATTGAATCTGTGTGCCCAGACTCGAGCATAGCAAAAGAGCTAAAGTGTTCAAGAACTAAAGCTACAGAAATCATAAACAACAGAATGGAATCTTACGCAGCTGAGGAAATCTCAAAAGATTTGAGGAACAACTATTTTTCAATAATCATTGATGAAACAACAGATATAAGCACCAAAAAGTGTCTTGTTATTGTTGTGAGATATTATAATGAGGTTCAGCAGAGAGTGAGAGATAACTTCTTGTCTTTGATTGAGCTGGAAGATTGTAGTGCCCAAAATATTTATAAAGATATTAAAAATGTTTTTGCTAGAAACAAGATACCCATCTATAAAATGATAGGTTTTGCATCTGATAATGCGTCAGTGATGGTAGGAAACATGAATGGTGTGAAAACAAAACTTTTGAATGATGTGCCTGATTTATTTGCACTTGGATATACCTCACACTCTTTACATCTTACTGCATCTGAAAAATGTGTCAAAGATGTTTATGGATATTTCTCCCACAGCGCCAAGAGGAAGAAGGAAGTAGAATAGTTTCAAGCATTTACAGATACAGTGCCTCATAAATTGTTGCGACCATGCCAAACTAGATGGCTCTCTTTGCATATGGTTGTTGAGAGGCTTGTAGAGCAGTGGTCTGCTTTGATTCTATATTTTCAAGCTAAAGCACTGGATTCTAATATAGAAGATGCAAAATGCATATTGAAAGGATTGAAAAATCCAATTGTGAGATTGTATATTAAATTTTTGACTCACATATTGAGTGTAATAACAAAAGCAAATACAGAATTCCAAAGTGAGTCCCCAAGAATTCATGTCCTTTTGAAAAACATTAAATTTAATTACAAAACCATATTGAAATGTTTTATCAAGCCAGAAATTTCGGCAAGAAAAATTTTTGAAGTAAACATAAATGCCCCACATAATTATATAGATTTAGGCCAGATATATTCAGGCTATGGGGTTGAAAACATGCTTTCAGGGCCACCAATAAATATGAATGATTTAAATTCATTCAAAATGAAATGTTTGGAATTTTGTATTTGCTTTTGGAAAGAATTGAAGAAGAGATTTGATTTCAATGACCAATTTCTGGATAATCTACAAATATTAGATCCTACTAAAATATTTAATTCAGGTAAACCCTCGATAAATGCAATATGTAATAGATTTCCAAACATTCCTATTCAAAGAAATGATCTGGCTTCTGCATGGCAATTAATTGATGAATTCAAACCAGAAAATGATATCAAAGATATTCAGGAATTGATATCTTATTTAGAAAAGCAAAGAATCGGGTAAGATCAAGCAGCTTTCACAAATTTAGTTATTTTATTAAAAGTTATTGTAACTCTACCTCACAGCAGTGCTGCCGCAGGAAAAGAATTTTCAAATTTGAATTTGATAAAAACAAAATAAAGGAATTGTTTGTCTGTAAAAACCTGTGAAGGCCTGATGTTGGCCAAAGGTTTATTAGGAAATGGCAACAGTTGTTGCTCTTGGAAACCCAGTCAAGATCTTGTGAAGAAATAAACTCGGTTTTTTGATTTGTATAATATTCCTCATTCGATATTTCATTGGACAATGACAAATAAGTTATGTAGGTAGTTAAGTATTGAAGTTGAAATAGCTGTTGATTTTTTATTTCAGTTTTGTATTCATAGGTAATTCGATTTATGAATTTTGTTTTCAAATTTGAAAGTGTGAGCGAATAAAATGTCAGCATGTTCTCCTTTAACGATTTTATTAATTTCTGATATCCACATTGATGCCTAAACCAATTTATTTTTAATTAAATGAAATACATTAAAATGCGAAGAAGTGAAGACGATCATGTTAACTTCTCTTCCTCGTTTTCTATCAAGGTTGGTACTAGTGGGATGCATAACAAATAATCATTAGTTCTACCAACCTTGTTCTCTATCAATGGTTGCGCCATCTATCATTATATTCGCGAACTCCAAAACAATTGCCTACTCGGTTTATATCTTATATCTATCATGTTTCTTCTCTGCTTAACATGAAATAATATGAGTTCACATGATGAGAGTACTCTTTAGGGATTTTGGGTACTATTTTTTACAGAATTGCGGTACATTTCTAGAGCGTGGCCCGGCAGCACTGTTCGCTAGTAATTACAACGATTCTGAGATTTTGAGTGCACGACCTCGTTTTGCGTAGCGTGTTCGTCGTGTTCCGTACTTCCGTGTTCTGTGTTTTGCTCTTCTGTGTCATTTATGTCATTATTGTCATTCATTTTGACAATTGACTAATGGCTCGAGGCTTGACTTGACACTAATGACAATTGACAGTTGACATTGACAATGAAAAATGACGAATTGAAAATGAAGGCCAGCTTCAGAAGTGTGCAAAGATCTGACTTCAATTTCTTTTTCAACACTCATTATTATATTATTGGATCTTTGGAAGTGATGATTGTATTGCCAGAAATGAAATGAAAAATTAAACATCGATATGATGAAAAATTGGTTGCTCAGTTCGGTAATTAATCAAATAATGATACAATCAGCTCATTTTCAGTAGAATATTTCCCATACAGAAAAAAAGGATTCCAGTGAGAAAGATCCCATTCTGCCTGGAGAAGATTCGTCGAGAGATTCCTCAACTACTTCTACCACTACTAGTAGTTGTAGTACCATTACTACCAGTAGTTGTTCAATCAATGTGAGCAAGAGGGGAAATCAATTCAATATTGATCACACATTTCTGGATGAAGACCTGGAGGAGAATGAAGAAATTCCATGTGAAAAAAGAAAAAAAATGAGAATGTGGATCTGGATGAAAACAAATAAGAGAAAATTCTACAACGGAAACAACAAAAAATGCAAGACTTTTTTGATTTCAAAATGAGTGGTGTGAAATGCCTGAATTCAAAAACTGGCTTGTTCAATCGAGGAAGCCCCAGAGACAAAAAAATATTGAATTTGCCTACTGTCGAGTATGCAACTGTGAAATATTCTCCCTCAAGAATGATTCAATAAGACACAACAAATTTCGAAAAACTCATTTCAAATGGAAGAAAGGTAAAAGGTTGTAGTTCCATAGTTGACGAAATGATTCAGCCTGCATGGAGGACTAGCAAATATTCTGAATTGAAATTAGTTGGCTACTCGCCACAAAAAATTTGCCATGTGTTCTCATGGACACACTTGTTCCTTTTTGTACAGATATTTCTCCAGATTCTGATATTGCTAAAGGTATTGCATGCAGAGCAACAAAGGCAACTGCTGTTTTGAAACATGGACTTGGAAAAATCTTCCAGGATGAACTATGTGACAATGTTCGAAGTCCTGGAAGATTCTTTTCATTAGTAATGGATGAAACAACCAAAGTTTCAGAAATTAAGCAGTGTGCATTCACTATAATTTTTTATGATGTAACGAAAGTCAAAACACGATTCTTAGATATGGTCTCAACTGAGAAAGGTGATGGTGCTAGCTTATACGATTGTTTAAAATCAACTTCAGCAAAGCACAAAATTCCTTCAAGAAATATGGTAGGATTTTCTAGTGACACAACAAATGTTATGGTGGGAGAATATAATTCAATGTTTTCTCATCTGAAAGCAAAACTACCTGATATTCAAATTCAAAATATATTGATGTAATCAAGTATTGATATATGTGATTCAGTCACTATGTGTTCAGGAAATCCATTATCCCTTTTTATTGTGAGATAGGAGTTGAGTTAGAATAGCGTGAGCTAGACTTCGCCTCTCAACATTTTACTTGTATTGTAATATGTACTTACCAAAAACAATAAAGGCAATTTATTATTATTATTATTATATTGTGTGTATTAGGTGTTCATGCCATATGATCCATTTAGCTGCATCTGCGGCATATTTGCAACTGCCTCGATCTGTTGAAGATGTTCTTCGAACATTGGAGCACACTTCAGTAGGAGCTACAGTAGACAGAAAAAGTTTAAAGAATTCCAAATTTTTCTTAAAACTAACATTCATAAAATTTTGATGCTAAGTATCACTAGATGGTTGTCATTAGAGCATTGGACCATTCGAAAACCACAGAAACAATTGTTCACACTTTAGAGAATAAATATACATTCCTATATCTACAGTTCATGGCATATGTCCTGGAAATATTGATTGACTTCAATGAAATGTTTCAAACACAAGGTCCATTGCTCCACAAATTGAAGCCAGAAATAATGAGATTACTCAAGACACTCTGTTCCAATTTTATTAAGAAAAGAATCATACTAAGAGAGCGAAAAAATATGTGGGATATGAATCATACAGATCCTCATCTGTTTGTGCCACTAGCGAAAATATACTTGTAGTAGTAGCAACCTTTGAGGCGATTGAAGCAATGAAATGTGAAAATACTTCTGATGAAACGGAAATGAATGTATTTTTGAAAGTTTTACATTGAAATAGTATCTGAATTCAAGAAAAGATTCCGGTTCTCAGATCCTATATTTGATATAATTTTTATTGTTGATCCACGAGAGTGGGCAAGTTCCGATATCCATTCTTTATCACATATTATCAAAAGATTGAGTTTTTTGGACGATTTTATTGATCTGCAAAAAATGGATAATGAATGGAGAGAATGCTGTTTCATAAATCCAGAAGATATAGGACTACCATCAGCTGATTTTCCTGTGGAACAATACTGGTCAAAAATATTCAATTTATAAAATTTTTCCGACCAGCCACTATATCCAAATTTGGGGATTATTATTAGTTCATTATTAGCGCTGCCATTTTCCCATGAGAATATCAAAACCTGTCACAGACACTCTTCAAAAACTGGAACTGTAGCTGCTCTGATAACGACTAGCGAGGGAATAGCAGACTAAGGGGGTTGTATCAAAATTACCCCAAACAAAAAGATGTTATCTTGTAATGGTGCATTTGGAAAATAGCAGATCTAGTAAACTTCTATGATCAGTTTTAATGTGTTTTACATATCTTATTTTGTATTTTGTTTAGTTAGAGAATGTGATTTGTTTGTGATAATATTGATAGTAGGTAGGTAGGTTATAGACGAGTCTGGTACCTATATCTAGCTATTACCTTAATGAAGTAGCGTCCATTGTTCCGAAGAGTTTTTAATTTGTTGAAATAAATATGTTTGATAAAAATAGCACAGAAAGGATCTTCTTTTCATTATAAAACAATAATTTTCTGTATGGATGTTTTTTCATTCATGAGTTGAGTTTCCACCTCGTTTCCACTCTACGAATACCACTATACCCACGCCACTGCTTCCGCCTAATGGAGAAGGTATCTGGATTGTATATAGTTTGATATTCGGATACCCTTAGGCTTCTGGCCGCTAGATGTAGCGGCGTAGGCATTTTCAAGGTTGGTAGAACTGATAATTTTTCTCTACAAATTATCATTAGTTCTACCAACCTTGGGCATTTTATCTAGTGAATTATCTAGGGTCCCTAAGAATATCATACGTCATACGTGTCAAATGTCAAAATGATGGCCTTAATTTCAGTTTCAATACCTTCAATTTCATGAAATAATTATTTTATTGCGATTACATAGTGAGGCACACGAAATTGTTCTCTATGAAACATAAGATGCATAAGCATTTTGTAGAAAATGATTTTTAAGTATTTTGTCAGCATTTTCTAAATTTTGCAAGTTGAATGCAAAAATTTTGAAATGAATTTGCAATTAATTCCACAAATTCGAGAGGCAGCACTGATGCAAACCTCAACTTATCCAGTTATTTTTAATGTTCATCACTCTCCTGTCAAATGTATACTCATCTGAAAGAGGGAGCAGGCACATTATAAAATATTATGTTTCATAAAATAACTCCCCAAATATATTGTGTTTAGGAACAAAAGTGTCTACTATGCAAACCTTAACTTATTGTGCGTAATTCAATTCGAAAATCTCAGAAATGAGAGATAAATAGATTTTCACCATAGGGGCGCATTAGTAATTAGTGATTGGGGGCGAAAGGGCGGAGATGCAATCCGTAAGCTTGATATGTGTATGAATGAGAAATCGAATCCTTAAACAGCTTACCTCGAAGTCCTGAATTTTGAGGCTCTTTCTGGATGCTTCAGAGTTCTCTCTGGTTGCGGAAGTGTGCTGGGGGCCCCCTCCAGGATAATCCAGGTAATTGCGTGTCGGCGATATTCCAACTATGTCAACACTCACAAAGTAGTTCAGATAGGAACCAAAACAATGAAAACCATTTCACATAAATTTCCCGTGAAACCGGCGAAGCGAAATCTATTGAGGCATACAAAACTAGAATATATGCCTGCGGAGCCAAAACGATACTAATCCTGTTCTCTCGTTCGATCTTCTTTCAGGTGTATTTACGATTTTTATCACTCGGTCCGAGTACAAAAAATTATGTAGGTTTTCACTCATTTCGAGCTGTTTAAGGCAAGGTCGCGAGAAACAAAATATGATAGTTCAAATTATGAAAACGGTATTGCATCACCGGGAATAAAATATATAGAAAAAAAAACAAATGCATGGAAAAATAACTTATTTTAATCTAAGGCTTAACACTTATTCATCATGTGATGTGGATGCGTGACGTGTAGGGTAAGCGGAGAAAATGGTTGTGTTTATGCCAGATCTGGACATAGTTTCTCTGATCCACCTGTTGATTGGGTTTGTTGCTGCTGTATGGAATCATTTCCGTGCTGTTAGTAACCAACATTCCTGCGACTCCTTCCTATAGACCGCTGTTCTCTGTGTATAGTTAAGTAAGGCTGAAGCTGTACACAACTCAGGCTTATGGTGAAAAAATGGAATGTGTAGACAAGGTTGATCTCTTTTTCCACTTGTGATCTTGATATGGTCAGGTATGGAGTTCTGTATGCCATCGTGGAATATATTCTGGACCCAAGTCTTTTAAAGTCTGCAGTTGGTGACCTGCTATTTATGCTAGCAGAGTCGCCAGCTGCTTCTTGGTGAGGACATCTATTACCAGTGTTCCATAAGGGTCCGTCTCTTAGATTGACAGATTTCAAGTCGAATCTCATTTTTGTTGAGATGGTCTTATCCTATAAATACATTTCAAGAACCTCCTCATGTGGGTGTTGTTGCTTTAGTCACCTGGAAATATCAATGCTTATGCTGATCTGTATGTATCAAAGGAGCGATAGGTTATATTATTTTTCTTTTTGAACTGTTCCTAAAGAAATTCTTGAACCAGGAATTTGTTGGCAGGAAAAGGATCAGATTCCTTTTCATTATAAAAACTGCACCATGCTTTGTAAACACTCATATATTGTTTGAGAGTTTCTTTAGAGAGTGATATGATCAATATTGGTATTGCAGTCTCTGGTGTACCTTTTCTCATGAAAAATTCGTTCAATATCGGATGTGCACCAGGAAATGTTTCGAATACCTGAAAATTAAAATGAGGAATGAGGCTTCTTTATAGCTTTATATGCATGCTCAACACTGAGATCTCATTTGATTGCGAGGTGGAATGAGAAAATATTTTCTTTTCAATACTAAGGGTCTCTGTTTGTAGGTTAATCGAGGAGGTGGTACATTCATTAATCCAGATTTTTCGGGATTCTCTCTCCTCGTTACAATAAAATAAAAATATGTAGATTATTTCAATAAACGTGAAGTAAGGACAAATCAGATGATTCGCCCCAAATTTTCAGTGCGTTTGATGAATTTTCCCATCAGAGAGCCTGAAAGAAAAATTCACTAGCTTGTCAGTGACAATTTGTATTGAAAAAGGTTTGAAGGAGAGACAAAAAGGAATATATGTACAGTGCGGCCATAAAGTATCGCATAAATCCATCATTGGCTAAATAAACAATAAAATTCGAAATTCTCGAAACAGGTCGATTTTTTATTCCAATTTACTATAGTTTCGAATCATAATCTGATATACAGGGTGAACCACTTTCGTGTAATGACGTCACCGCCATTTCTTTCAAATGGAACCCCCCTTTTTTCAATTTCCCAATTTCCCTTAAAAAAGTGTTTAAAAGTGTTTTTAACCGCCAGCTTAGTTGCAAAGCAACCCTCGAAAGTCAGAGACTTGTGTGAGTTAAGAAGCTGAGCTGATTCCATAAATGTATAATAATGTTGCTTCAAACTGGTACAGGGTGGGCAAAAATTTAAGAAAATATATGAAAATTGTTTATGGAAAGTAATACGTTACTGAATGTAATAAACAAATCAAAAGGAATTACGTAGTTTCGCAATTGATGTGATACACTTCCAAATACAAACAAACGAAGGAAAATTCACAATGACTGTTCAAATTGTTCTCCATTGACCGTTAGACAATGACTGAACCGGACATTACTCTCGTCTCTGTAGCAAAGCGGGTGTTATGTTCTGTATTTATTGTCTAATTCGGTCTTGTAGTGGAGAGATATTTCCAGGTCTGTTCAAAGTAGACTTCAGATTTTGAATAACCCCATGAGAAGAAGTCTAATAGGCTCAGATCAGGCGATACAGCAGGCCATTCCACTGGTCTCCTTCTTCCTATCCACCCTTGTGAAAATGTTGTGTTTGAAAATTCGCGCACAGTTACTGCGAAATGTGGCGGTGCGCCTTCCTGTTGAAACCAGATTCTGCGGTCTACAATAGTGGGTATTTAAATATCATGAAGAAGCTGGATCAGA